ATAATCTCAAAAGAAAAGCAATGCTAATAAAATGAGATGCTCTGGAGCAGCTGCACATAAACTTAGTTCACCATACTAAATACCAAGAGTCAGCTAAAGGGGTATAAAGCCCCCCAGCAATGGGCTGTTGAGCAGTGGAACTGTGTACACTGGAGAGATGGATCTTCGTCTAGTAGATCCAGAGCTAATCACCCAACTTCACTACCTGACCTCACTAATGCTCTTGCGGCTGAACGCAATCAAATCTTCACAGCCATGTTCCAACATCTAGTGGGCCTTCCTGGAAGAGTGGAGGCTGTTACTGCAGCAAAGCAGGGACAAACTCCCTATTAATACCTTTGATTTCAGAAGAAACACTGCATGAGCAGGTGTCTTCAAACTTTTGGATATATAAAGTAGTCTGTGGTCAGAGACCACTCTCCCAGCCAACTTTTCATGGCCATTAAAACAAGTTCTGCCAATGTTAACTCAATAAAAGAAATATTTCCAGAATTTCTCAACCTAGTTTCTATCTGCTTAATCTGTAGCAAACAGTTGATGGGTAATAGTGGGTAAGCTGTACTGTGTAATACTGCTGCCCTCCACACAGGCAGGGTTTCGATTTCCCACCCAGGCAAGCATACAGTACCAATAAGGGTACATGGGCAAGACTCCTAACACTACATTTGCCTGCATCTATAACCTGATTCATTTGTAAGTCGCTCTGGTTAAGAGGGCAAAAGTTAGAGACCACCCTTCAAGTCAAAAAGACCATTAAGTACAGGTTATTTTTTCATTATTAGGGAAAAATTAGGGATAAATTGAGAAAATTTATATTTAATGGAAAATTACACACAAGCCACAATAATAAATACATCATAACATTTTTCAGTGTTTAGTGTGTTCACTGATTGCCTTTAATACAGCTTACATTCTTTTCAGGAGACTTGCATTCAGGTTTCCAAGAAATCTGCAGGGACATGTTTCCACATCTTCAAAGTTCATTCCTAGAAGTTGGTTTCACTTTCTGCATCCTTTCTCAAATAATCCCAAACACATTCAGTGATGTTGAGGTCTGGACTCTGGGGTGGTCAGCCCATTGTTCTGAGAACACCAACAGCTTCTTTGTTTGATTTGCAAATGTTCTTTTTTTTGCTCTATTTTCTTTTCTCAGTAAGGGCTTCTTGACAGCTACACATCCTTTCAGACCCATACTGTTGAATTGTCTTCTAACAGTGGGATGGACTGAAATACCTGTGGATTTTTTCCGGTCTGAAGTAATAGTGGAGCTTGATTTTCTCTCAACAATGAAAGCTTTAAGCACTGTTTATCTGATGGTGACGGTTTCAGTGGTCTACCAGGTCTTGCATGGTTGTTATGAGTCCCACTTTCAATATCAACTTCACTGCAGTTTTGGAAACTCCTGTTGTTTTCACACTCCTCTTTTATGCAAGCAGATTATTTTATATCTAATCTCCTGAAAATGAATCACTTGTACTTTTTTCCTAGAAAGTAAATAAAAGAAGGGTGGTCTCTGATTTTTGCACAGTATGGCAGTGTACCTCATATCTTAGATCACTGCTTCTAGGCTAGTTCCTGGTATTTTGTTATATTTTGCAGAGAGAGGATGCCAGAAGAATGGGAAATGGAGGGATATAAAAACAGCTGAGAAAGTGAGAGTGCACAGAGGGAGAGAGTAACAGGAAAATCAGTGTTAAAGGTACACCTACACAAGCAAAGTTACTGTATTTAGCTCTGTAGGAGTTTGTTGTAGGAGTTAATTAGCACTGGTGATTTTACTGTGGGGAAAGAGAGAGTAGCCTACACACACATACAAACTCAGACGTACACACAAAGAAGGACAGAGAGAGGAGAGAAGCGGAGAGAGAAAGGATGAGGGGGTGGGCAGTGAGTGCACTGACGCAGCCTTTGGAAGGAAGAGAGATAGAGAGGGGGGAGGCTATTTTAAGCCTGCAATAGGGAGTAGTGGATCGTTGCTGCTGCGTATCTGCTGTTTCCTACGTCATTGCTTTGGCTAACCCCTCTGAACATACACACACACACACACATTCACAGTCTACATGACTGATCATGACCTCTATCAATACGTACATTACCATATGTCTATAGGCAGAGGCAGGGACGCAGCAATATAGCATACACAGCCAAAGCTGTGCACAGCACTGTGAGAAAACATAAGTACACCTTATCCATGTACATTAAACTCATCATCTATATTGTAATATGATTATGATGGTTTATTGTATATTGGTATATTGGTACAGGACATTTTGTCCTTGGTATAGCCACTGCTGAACAGCATAAGAAGCCTCATTCACTGTCTTCAGACAATGAGACAGCAATTTATTCTCATGGTTAACTGATGGCCATATAAGCCTCAAGACCTATAAGCCTCATGTTCATGATATCCTAATTGCAACATAATGAGGCTACTATTAGGTAATTACACCATGTATTATAGTCTAATTAGATGTTCCTGTGAGTGTATCACCTCAGAATTGAATGTCCTGGCTGGTATGAATCATATTAGGTGGGAATGCTAGAAATTTTTGCTCTTCTGATTTGAGAGCTGAGCGCTATTTTGAGAAGGCTAGGCTGCCAGTGTTAACTCAATTAAAGGAATATGCTCAGAATTTTTCTACCTAATCTCTATCTGCTGCATCTGTAGCATACAGTCGATGGAAACTGCTTAGTAAGTTGCAGCAGATGTTTTGTAGTTACAGACGATTGGACCGATGTGGGAGTTGCCAAGCTCTCCATCTGCTTCTGATTGGTTGTTGTGTTTGGTGGGTGTGGTCCTGTAACAAATGGCGTTTGCAGCACGCATAGGACTGGAGTCTATATTTGAGGAGAACAAGGGATGGAGGAGATGAGTAGCTTTGTCTTTGCCTTCCTGGCGAATTCTTGTGCTTTTCTGTTTTTGTTCTCTTTAGTTTTTCCACCTCTGTTTTCTCTACATTTTGGTATAGCCTCAATGGTCACTTTCGGTTTTTTGCGCTGCATAGACATGGTGGCCTGTAGATGTCAACATTCAGATTTTTGTTTGTGTGCTGGCCCTACGACTGAATACTGGGGTTTGATTCCTTACCAGGGTGAACACACCATGCTATGCTCCTTGCTCCTTGGGCAAGACTCCTAACACTACATTCGCCTACCTCTGTAACATAATTCAATTGGCTCTAGATAAGCGCCTGCCAAATTTGTAAATGTAAATGCAAGCACATATAATAGTGGACAGCTGCTTCAACACGTGACCATTGGCATCTATTATAAATGTGTTTCGAGTCAATTTTTTCTGTTCATTATGGGGAAATGTTTGTCCATATTAATCAACCAGATGCTATAGAGGCAGCAGATGGAGATTAGGTTGGAGTACTCCTTTAACTTCACAGCTACCTTGCTCCATGTAAATGAATCATCTGCGCTCTTTGAAGATCTAAGCATCTAAGCTCAGCTCATAATCAAACAGCCCAGGCAAATGATGCCTCAAAGACAAACGAGTCATGTGTATTCCCATGGGGAATGGGTGTGGAGGAGCGTATCCACCCAGCAATCTATGGCACAGTGACAGACTGTGTCCCAATTTCCTCTTTCCAGCGCCAGTGTAAACTACCAAACACACAAGTGACACATGAGTGAGTCACTTTACTGTAACCTGGGCATGCTACGCCCAGCCTGTACGACAAACACGAGAGGAATGTCATTTCATAACGCTAGAACGTTCATCTCCAAAGCCCCAATGGGTCAACCGGGCTGTTTTCATTACATACACATCCTAAATTCCTGCTTAGCTGACTTGGCACAGTGAGCAAGACTTTTTAAAGCCCGCCCACACTCGCACACAAAAACACAAAACAACAAAGCCGGACTAGCACACACGCACACACATACGCTTCAGTGAAATATATGAATTGCACTTGGCAGGATGAGAGTGAATAACAGATTTATAAGAAAATTGCAGACTAGTGAACAAGAGTGTGCCAGTCTTGAAATCACAGGGAAGCTCTGAAGCGGACCGTGGGGAAGTGGAGTGAGCCAGAAGGACACACCCTAGCGGTGGGAGATAACTTACAATGTCAGTAAACAAGGGGTCAGTGGGTACAGCAATTCATGACTCATTGTTCTTGACTGTGTTACAGGTGACGAACCGTCCTATCTTTCTCTCTTAGCAAGATGTACAAGTTATGACTGTAATCACTGATCTAGATAGGGTGGATTCAGGCACTGTGGACCATCAGATAATAAGACATGTTCTGAAACTCTTGTTTGTTCCAGTATCAGATAATGCTTAGTGCATTCTTTCTAAATAAGCATAAGGAAAAACTGCAAAATAATATTTTTATTATCTTATTATAATGGGCATATAATGACCATATGTATTAATACAAGCAACAATACTACAACTACTACTACTAATAAGTTATTTTAATGTATAAATAATAACATATCATCATATAAATAATACATAAAAAACGAAAAATAATAAGAAGAAGAACCTGAATTCACCCTGATTCACTACAAGCACTGGACAGCCACACTGAGAGGGTCCAAGGCTCCAAAACTGCATACTACCATACTAAATAGGATGTAAAATTCTTACACCACCATAGCACCTCCATTAATACCTCGATTATAGTATGTAGTTTGGGACGCAGCCCAAATGCCTAGAAACGCCCGATTAACCTAAACGATACAAACTACACACCTAATCATCATTAACAATGATGATGAACCGAACCAAACACGTGATTTTAATCACCTCGTCTTCTCCAGACTGATTCACCGCAGAAACATTCGTTATTTTGACCAAATATTTGGCGAAATGTACCGCCTCAGGTGCGTGAGCGCTGCTCGGCTAGCACTGAACTGTTATGAATGATCGGGGTGGGAAGGCAGCTGCAGGCTGCAGAGCGGCTGGGAGGAGCGCTGTGATTGGCTCAGCCAGCGTGGAGGGGCGGGGTGTTTTCTACATGTGGGTGTTGCGTAGTGTCAGACGATTGGATCGATGTGGGAGTCGCCGAGCTCTCCGGCCGCTGCGGATTGATTGTTGGGGTCGGTGGGCGGGCCCCGCGGTGGAGCCTCGTAACAAATGGAGCTCGCGGCACGCGTGGGGCTCGAGTCGACGTTCGAGGAGAACAAGGGATGGAGGAGACGAATAGCTTTGTCTTCGCCTTCCCGACGAGTTGTTGTGCTTTTCTGTCTTAGTTCTCTTCTCACTTCTCCTCATTAGCCTCTGTTTTCTGTACATGTGTATGTAGCCCGAGTGCTCGCTCTCGCCCTTTGTGCTGCGGTGGACGTCGACGCCGAGTTCAGGTTTTTGTTTTTGTGCTGGACCTATGGATGAACTTAAGACTTCACGGCTTAAGCAGGAGAGCAAAACAGCCAGTGCGAACAACTAAATCACCCCCACCAAAACAGAAACAAAACAACGGAGGAGGGTCAACGCCCGGTTCTCTTCTCTTCTTCGAAGCGTGGAAAGGATAGTTTCATTTCCCCTCGAGCAGTAACGGAGTCCCCGTGTGGACCAAAAGCAGTGGCAGCGCAGAGCTACGCTACTCCACTCGCTCTCTGGCTTCCAGCGCTGTTGCAGGTTCTCCGGTTCTTGGCGCTTTAACTGTCGGATGGACCAGCACCCTGAGGCTCGAGGCTGCACCGCCGGGTCCCGGTGCTCTGAGCTCGCCGTCCGCAGCGAGCCCCCCATGACTTTATCCATCCACACCACCACGGGCACTCGCTTCGAGCTCTCTCTCCCTCCCGAGGAGACGGTGGACGGGCTGAAGAGGAGAATTTCGCAAAAGCTCCGCGTGCCCAAAGACAGGCTCGCGCTCCTGCACAGAGACACGTGAGTTCCGACGCTCCCTATGGGGCTCTGGAAACTAGAGCAGTGAGGGCGAAAGCTGTACAGCCAGTCTGCTACGGACTGGCTGTGTGGCTACAGCAGTGCATGCAACAGAGTTGGTGTGTTGCGTGTATGCCACGTCCCCAAAGCTGTCCTAGAAGCCATATACTGTTTTACTTGACTTTATGAGATCTAGTAGAAGGCTGTAAGGATAAAGCTCCATAACCCTCGGGCATCATGCATGAAGTGCATTAAAACTTGCAGAGACGTGTAAAGAAGTGGTGCTCTGGATGTAGGATCGTACAAGTCTGACTAGGGTCTATAAGTCCACTACCAAGAAAAAGTTAGCAAAAACTTTTTTTTTGCCAAATTCTAAATTTCAACCATCATTCACCAAAACGTCTCAGTGATATTAGAACTCTATCTGGCATTGATTCTGTAAAGTGTTATCAGAATTGGAGAGTCCTTCCAGTTCTCATTAAGAGCAAGCAGTATTGAGACTCCACAGTTGGTAGCGGACTTAGAGTTTAACCTGTATGCTCCACCTTTTCCCTTTTTAAAACGTTCCTAAGTAGATTTGGGCGATATGGCAAAATGTCATATCACGAAACCAGTTAAACAGGACTAATGATGCAGTCTTTGTAATCAAACATGAAGTTGGGAAGTGGTTTTTATGTACTGGTGGTATCTACAGTATGCTCAGAAAAGCACATTGTAATATAATTTATCATGATAACGATAAATATTGTCATGTTGCCCAGCTCTATTTCCAAGGATGTTACATCATTCCAGTGCTGATTTTCTCAAACAGCTGAAAAAAATCATTTGTCTTGGTTTAATGAATGTACTGAATAAGTGTTCACTGAGTAGTTCTCTCTTAAGGTTTTCATTCATGATGAACAAGACTTTTGGGACCTACTGTATAAAATGACACTCCAGTTGTCAGATCTAAAGCATGTAACAGGACTTCTGCGTTGTTACGAAAGATTAAAAAATACCATACTGTGTCAAGAGTGCAAGTGACGTAAAAGCTCCGCTGCAAACACTTTTGAACAGTACAGAGGTGGTGAAAGCCTCCTACTGCTATCATAAACTCTGGGCCCGTTTCCCAGACATAGAGTAGTAAGCATAGTGTGGGATTGTAGCTGGTTCCAACAAGATATCACAGTGTAAGTCTGAACAAAGACCGGACTTTTTGGGGAATGGCTTTATTTACATTGCTTTTATGTTAGTATTCCCGGTTCCCAAATGAGTAAAATGTCCACTTCTAAGGCAGCATTCTGTTTCTCAACCCTCCGCAGAATGAACTTTGTTGTGTCACTGAACAGTAATAACATAACTCTCATGGGTTTGAGTTACAGGAAGGAACGTTCTGAGAAAAACATTGTAAGCTGCGACAGTGTTATAAAACTGTTTTGTGCTCTCTTTCGGACCGGATGCCTCTTGCAACAAATGAGAGTCAGCAGTTTGTCATTAAGCGCTGTCCTTCTCGTTACGCAGGAGACTGAGCTCAGGAAGACTCCATGATTTTGGAGTTACGGATGGGAGCAAGTTGACCCTGGTGCCATCAGTAGAAGCAGGGTTAATGGTAAGCCAGTGAGTTGAGAGAAATGACAATAGCAAAGTGTTTTATACCCAGAAACTGCAAAAGCTACTCTTAAATTTTATACAACATAAACACATAACACACGTATTAGTTGCATGTTAGTTAATGGATAATTTATGGTAGTTACTGAAAGTAAATAATAAGCCTGTGGTTTAAGGGGTCAAATTCCTGTCAAAGGATTCAGTATCTGTTTGTGAACTCTTTAACTTGAATGTGTTGGATAAACTTTTGGGGGTATTTGACATCTTTGTTTGTTTCCCTCACCTCAGACTCAGGCCTCTAGACCAGAGCAGTCCATCATGCAAGCCTTGGAGAGTTTGACAGAAACTCAGGTAAGAAGCACTGTGGCCACTCATGACAGACAGACAGACAGACAGCAGTCATTTCAGAGGAACACAGACATGCAGGCTAAGCATTATGAGCTGGCATTCCCCACCAGCTGGCTGTTACTGAAATGCACACAAACATGTTGCCACTGTAATAAGAAAGCCTTCTTCGAAGTGGTGACTTATTAGTAGAAAACAAAAAAGTTCTTAAATGTAACTTTAATGTATGTTAGTTGGGGCTATTATATGTCAAGTGATTTTGTTTCTGTTGGTTACATGATGTAAAGGGCAGCTCATATTTTTTTCAGATGGTGCAAAAATAAATAAAAACTGAAAAATTTTGTTGTGCGTTCGTCTCAAAGATGATTTTTAAAAATTTAATTCCAATTTGAAAGAGTGCAATTTTCAAATCACAAGAGTTTTAACTAGAAATGGAAAAGCTTTAAGTTTGATTGTTGCCATGAAATCCAAGGTGGCTGCTAAGGTGTTGATAAGCCTTCACTGTGGTATCCCAGGTGGTTGCTAAGATGTTGCTAAGCCAATGCTCTGGAATCCATGGTTGTTACTAAGGTGTTGCTTTAGTATCCTAGGTGTTTCCTAAGGTGTTGCTAGGCCGTTGTTAACTCAGGTGGTTGCTAACGTGTTACTACATCATTGCTATGGAATCCCAGGAAGTAGCTAAGGTTTTGCTAGGTTGTTGCCATAGCATTTCAGACAGTAGCTAAAATCTTGCTACATTGTTGCTGTGGTATCCCAGGCAGTTGCTAAGGTGTTACTAGGCCATTGCTGTGGAATCCCAGACCGTAGCTAAAGTTTTATTTTGGTGTTATCCCAGGCAGTTGCTGAGGTGTTGCCAGGCTGATACCGTAGTATACCAGCTGGTTGCTAAGGTGTTGCTAGGGCATTTCTGTGATATCCCAGATGGTTGTTAGTGTGTTGCTAGACTATTGCAATGCTAATATGTGTGCATATGAGTCTGTTTGTAATGTCTGTAAGGGACAGTGTGACAGATGTTCTTTTTGAGGAACCAGTTACATTTTAATTTTCTCCACATTGTGCCATTTGTTTTCTATGGGAAAATAATTTTGTTTGAATAAACATTGACTGTTGGAATTGATCCCAAAAACACAAGTTCATTATGTAGGCTCTACAATCCTGCAAAGTTTCATAGTTCTAGCCCGAAAACTCTGACCTATGAAAACAATACAAAAAAAACAAAGAATAATAAAACCAAGAACAGTAATATGGCAACTTAATTGTAGCTCTTATTATTAACAACATTGTCCTGTGTTATAAGTGAGGACATTTACCCTAATAACATGGAGCTTGTGAACTGCTTGTAGATGAGTTAGACCAGAGAAGTAACTGGCAGCAATCAAGCATGAGTCTAAAAATTTAGAAATGCTTTTCTTCTTCACTGAAACAATAGGCCTTGGCTGACTCATTCTGCAAACATATGCACATGCACACATGCATTTACGCGCACATATATGCATATACGTACCTATATACAAATATGCATAACCACAGACATTTACTGCACCACCTCTTCACAATTTTTTTGGTCCAGTCACCGCTGCATGCACAGTCCAATGTCATGTGGTCTTCTAGAGGATTATGCTTTTTATGAATGTACTTCTATGTATGTCAGAGTTAGTGCAGCATTTCCATGTAAGCAAATCACACAGGATGGGTGAGTCATATTGCTGAAGATATGGCAGCCTGCCCATTTAAATCTGTGTGTGTGTGTGTATTTGTGAACACCATGCAAGCCCAGACAGACTCCACCCTGTACGTATTATGACTGTGTGTCATTTTGGTTTTGCTGTATGAACCGTCAGCTTTGTTTCATCCTGTAAATATATGTGTATGGTCGAATCAGGTTGATAAGAAAAGATTTCCACGAAACGGCTCACTTAAGATTTCTTATTATAACTAGTCCGCCTGTCCGTTTGCTCACTCTCCTTTTCTCTTCCTCTCTCGCTCTCTCTCACTTCTCTTTCACACACACACTCGGCGCGCCTATCAATCCGAAACAAAACACTTAAGGGGCCTCATCTTTCTGCTGGGTTTGGTCATGTTCATTATGCAGCTTCACCCCTTTAACTGCAGCCTGTGTGTGTCTTCAGTTCCTCTTAAATATATAACTTTAGGGTTGTCACTGTTGATTATTAGGGGTGTAACGACACTCTCAGCCCATGATTCAAATCAGTTCTCAATACTGGGAGTTTGAATGAAGAAAAATGATGACTGGAATCACAGCTTACTAATGATATTACAGCTGGGAGGCACAAGGAGTGCCGGAGTGCATTGTTGTTCACTAGTTTACAAACTTTGGTGTTCAAACAAGGCAGTATGTTAGAAGGCATAATGAATAGTGTCCATTCTCCATAATGCATGTTGTCACATTTTTACATTGTGATACTATGATGTCATGCATTGTTAATTGACTGTTTGCAAAAAAAACAATATCCCTTAGGTATTGTTGCTATGTCCAGGAAACTAATTAGCTAACTGATTTCAACATTTTTTTTTTGTAACAATGTTTGTCATTAGACATCATATTAAAATCATTTTTAAAGTGTAGCTTAATGTTTTTTCAGGTTCAGGAATGAAATAAACACAGCGATAGGATAGCAGGTGTCAGACATTAAATGTGCCTAAAGTCATCTTTCCACCATTTCTTAGACTAATAATTCAGGCTGATTTACTGCTGTTCTCACTGCTAGTTTGTTTTGATGGAGGAAGGAACGTTTAGAGATGTTTGTGATTGGCTGAGAGCTGTGTCAATCATACCTTTGCAGTGAATTAACCAAGTATTGAGAGTTTTTGAATAAGGCCAGTAAAAATGAAATTAAAACTTTAAGGTTGATGAAATAACATGACTATTTTCCAATTCCTGAATGCTGTAATTGCATTTATTTGATATGTAAATAACTAACAAGTAAGTTAACACATCCTCTACAGGGATGTGTAGATTAAATATGCAATTTTTGTGCAAAATTTAGCGCGCAGTTTTCATTTCTAATTTAACAAATTAAAAAAAGTAAAACATAAAATGTGCCATAACTTTTGCACAGACTGCATGTTTTACTTTCACTTAGAAAATCAACAGAACATATCATAAGACCAGGGACACCCAAACCTTTGCATGCTACTGTATGCTTTTGTGCTGGTAAAGGTGTTATTTGTGAACCTTGACATTCTGTTTACCTGTCTCTGTACGTGTATGCGTGCATGAGTAGGCGTGTGTGTCTGTGCATGTACGTATACCGTGGTTGTCAGTTAACAGATGTGGTTTGGGTGCACAGGTGAAGCGCTGAGGAGAGGCTCCTCAGCAGCAGATATTTATAACCTGGAAATCCTGCCTTGAACTGTGGGAGTGGAGTGCACAGTGTGTGTGAAAGTGTCTCTGCAAGGCTGTTTTGAAACCGCTGGTGCATACCTGTATCTGTGAGAAAAGGTTTCTTCCTGTTTTTCCCTTTTTATAGTGCGAGCGTGCGTGTGTGTTGGTTAGTGCGGGGGTGGGGAGTTCAGGAAGCTGTGCCTTTTTTTGTCAGAGTGTGGCTGGGCTGTTTGCTCTGAGCTACCTTGTGACTGCTTTTTTAGCAGAGAGAGAGGCAGTGTGAGGTTGAGACTGCATCAGCCAAGAGACACAGACTAAATGGCTACGTAAGTGTGTGCATAATCATATACAGTGGGGTCCGAGAATCTGTGATCACATAGGATTTTTCCCATTTAATCCTGAAAATAAACAACAAAGTATTAGAATTTAGAAAAAGGGGGACATCATCTGCAAATACTAAGAAATTTGGAAATTTATGTACATTTGTTATGCTGATATCATTTGCAATAAAAAAAAAAAACTTTGTATGAAGTTAGAAAGGAATGCAAACTAGTAGCATTTGCAGGTGTGTGAGTGTGCCTCTTATGTCCCTTTCAGAGCTTTGGCAACAGTTGTTTATTACAATTCGTGCCAGTAAATCCATTTGAATCTGAATCTATTTGGCAAAGACAGAGAGAGATAGTATAGACAGAGAGAAAGAGAAATGGGTGGAAAAACAGAAAGAGAGAGAAAGAGAAGGAGAGTTTCATTTGAACCGAATAGTCAGCAGGCTTTGTCACAAACTGACCCAATGCAGCACTTAGCTGGGCAGGGCAGTGGTCACGCAACAACACATCATAAAATCAGAGGTTACTGCACTTGCTTCATTGTCTTTTTCTACACATGCAACTATCATTGGTTAGTGTTACCCTTTGTTCCAGTACTAGAGTAATTGTGACATCATGAGCATTGTGACATTGTAATAACTGTTCTATTACATTTACTTCCTTTGATCAGTCGTTGAGATTTAATTTCTCAAATAATCATCAGTAGATGGACTATTGGATCATAAAATTCTTGGCCTTTTCTCTTTATTTCTCATTATTACATATACGTCGAAAATAGCAGGCTAGTACAGCCCCCTATCTCCCTCTCTCCCTCTCCATTCCTAACAGACTAATTCAGCGGGAGAATATAATTGATTCACAAAAGCTGAATGGCTAAAATGGGAACAATAGGGAGTGTGGAGTGTCTAAAAAGATTTCCGGAAATATCGAGCTACTGCCTTCCTGATGAAATGAAGAGATGAGCTGAATAGTCTACAGCCGTCTTACAAGGGGACGCTTGTTGTGCAGGGACGGATCATGATTGAGCTTTGAGTATTGGATTTTTTTTTTTTGCCTCTTTATCAGTGGCACAGCCCCCACACTACTGTCCTGTTCACCTCTCTGCGCTTTCTGTGACATAATGGTGCTATTGTGGAAGCGTGATTTGTATTGAGCTGGCCCTCCCTCGCCCTCCATACGCAGGCATACACTAATCAGTATGTGTGTGTGTGTGTGTGTGTGTGTGTGTATGTGTGTGTGTGTGTGTGTGTGTGTGTGTGTGTGTATAGGCTTTACACTTATTGATCGCCATATGGAGGAACAGACATAACAGAAAGATGCTTTACTACACTGAT